TTATATTTCTACTCTTTTATAATATTAGATATAATACTTCTCATACTTTTTTTTGATATTTTATTTTATTCACATCAAGTGTCTTTATAGTTAGATCTGTTTATATATACTTTTATACTGGATCATCAGCTGTTACTCAATCTGCTAATAATTATCTTACAATTTATCTAGCATTTAGCAAATCTAAGCTCACTAGAGAACAAGAAAGATAAAAAGCTCTACAACTATATCTTTATTTAAAATATTTTCATATGGTAATGTATAGTTATTGATTATATCTTTACTACTATTAATTCTTTTATGATTCAGTTAATTAGATTTTGTAATACTGAAATTGATACTGCATTTAAACATATTCTTTATAATTCAAATATTGATATCAGTAAAGCAATTATTTAATTTAAAAAATATATAAAGAATATTAATAAATTAAATATACCTACTGATACTGTTAATTATTTGATCTAAAAGTTTATAATATAATCTAAATTTGTGAATACTCAGTAATAAAAAGCAAACTAAAAGCTCATCTATAACTTTTAATAAATATATTTCTGAGATATTAAGAATTAATAAGTTTATTTTTTTTCTGTTAAGCTTTATTAATCTCTTAGTCAAATTTCACATCATAAAGACTGATGAGATTTATATTATCTACTTTTATTAATATATAATTGAGAAAAAATATTTAATTTCAAAGATACAATGTTATAGCTAAATTAAAGTCAGAATGATAATAAGACAATAGCTTTAATTCATTTATGTAACTAGACAGTTATGATGAGAATACTAAACTGAGAAATAAAATATGAAATGAATAAGTAGTTAAATATATAGATATGATTGAGAATTAGAGTAGATCAATTTTCAGAGTGAAAATAATTAAGAATCAGAATGAATTAATCTTTGAAGTGAAGGTAAATTGATTTTAATTCATGTATAAGTGATTAATTATACTATAACATTAGTCTTTATTTTAAAAGAGTATTTACTCTCAAGTAGCTATATTAGAAGCAAGAAAAGAGTAAAAAGAAAATTCATCAAGCTTATCAGAAAATTATTCATTTTAATTATCATTTATTAGATTTTTATAGATTTTTCTTCTATATTTTACTAATATCAGATTTATCATCTTAAAGGATGAAATTTATTTGATTGTTTGATAGTTATAGAGCTTAAAGAATGCAAACAAAATTGATAGTCTTTAAGTCAATAATTATGATATTCATGATATACACAAGAATACAACAATTTTATTAATTAAATATATAATGAAGAATTAGATAAAAGATCAAAAAATATAAAGTTAAGTCTAATAAAATCATGATGAGTAGAGTAATCAAAGCGAGTTGAGCGATCAGAACAAGGCAAGTGATTGAGTGAGCAGAATTATTTACTGAATTTAGCTATCAAGTGAACTAAGTGATTAAGTAAGCTAACTAAAAAACTTATATTATAGCAAATATAAATAAAAAAATTTAAGGGTTAACTATTGAACAACATGCAGAAATTTCTTGTAGATTCAAAGAAAACTTAACTATTAAATTAGATAATTGTAAATTAACATGCTGAGATCTTTATAAAATTAAGATATCATTTAAGAATTTGATCTCATGTACAGAGAATATATTCAAACTTAGTAATATAAACTGTTAGAAATATATTTAAGATCTTATTTATAGTAAAAGTTTTATATGAAATTGAAATTGAAATTGAGAGCTTTATTCAAAGTTATTGATTTTGATGATGAAGCTTTTGAAATAGCACTTTTAAATTTTTAATAAAAAGCAGTGAGAGAAGTTTCTATAATGAAGATAAAAAAATAAAAAATTAATAAGAGTTTCTAATCATTCAGTATGATTACAATCACTATGAATTTTATACAAATATTGATAGAGATATAAATATAGATATAAATATTAATATAAGACTTACTACTTAATCTCTGAAGTTTTTTGAAAAAAAGGAGTTTAGTATTATATTATGACTCATGTAAAATTAGAATGATATTAAGACAATAGCTTTAATTTATCTATCTAACTAAGTAGCTGTAATGATAATATTAAACTAAAAATTAGAATATGAAATAAACAAGCAGCTGAATGTATAGTACTAATTAAAAATTAGAGTGAATCAACTTTAATTCATATACAAACATCTTTATTATAACATATAGCTTCAATGAGAAGTTTATCTAATTTTTATGATATTTGTCAACTTAAAAATAGATATTATACTTCTTTTCATTAATAAATTTTATATAACTCTTGATGACTTAAAGACACTTAAAGTTTTTTCATCTGAGAATCTGATATTTTATATTTTTCACTCAGCTCTACTCTCATCACTTGATGAAATTATATTCAGAAGAAGATTATAAAGATTTAAATCTCTAAATCTATAACTATAATACTATATATAATTTTCAATTTTAAATTAAATCTTCAATAAATAATAAAAGTAATATATTTTCTTTTACTGAGATCAATACTATCAACCTGTTTCAAAGAATAAAAAAATAATAAATTTTTTTTTCACTCAGATCAATGTTGTCAATCTGTTTTATTTTAATATATGATTAAATATTTACTATAAATATGATTATGAGAATAAATCTATATATTCTAAATGCAAAATTTCTCATCATAAAATCTATTGACTAGTTTACTTAAATAAAGTTTCTGAAAATTGATAGAAGAATAATATCAAAAAAATAAAGAATTTTAAGAAAATATTAATAAGATGAATAATAATAAATGAAGACAGCTGATAATTCTACTGTCAAGTTTTCTGTCACATATAATGATATTTTTTTCAAATTATTAATCCTAGAGAGATTATTATCATTTCAATATACTCTATTAAATTATATAATAATGATATAAACATTGTTAATCAAACTTTTTTACCTTCAGCTAATCATTTCATCAAGTTACTGGAAGTTAATAAGTTTATATATTAAAAGGAGATTATAAAAGTTGAGAGAATGTGTGATTTTTTTTCTCTTTCTACATCTTTATTTTAACAGATTTTTAGTAGTTTTGTTTTTCCAGTTGATTTTATCATCTAATCTGTGAGTTTTTACTTAATTAGCGTAATTTCAATGAGTATATATTATATAGTTTTTTTATTGAATAATTAAAGTAACTTTGATATTAGTATATTTAAAGATAATTTATAAAGCACTAATTAAAAATTTATATTATTATTATATTACTAAATTAAGTAATCTTATGAAATTCTTCTCTATATAAAGTTTTCAAAATGAGATAAATATTTTGACATACTGAGCAATCAGAATATGATCTTGATATCTGTTTATTTTTATGTTAATCTAGGCTTTATTTACACTAATACTAGGCATAAACTGATTGCTTTACTAAATCAATTAAATGATGATTTAGAATAGAATTCAGCTATTGAGGTAAAAAATAATCATGAATTTTAAATATAAATTTAAATAGTTATTTGGTAAATCTATTTATAAAAACTTATATGAGAAGACAAGTTTTTTTTTGAAACACCCTACTACTTCTTATATATATTCAAGTCTATAGGCATTAACTACTATAAAATTAATAAATAAGTAGAAAATAGAAAGTTAAATACAATAAATAATTCTATAGCTAATATATACTGTGTGATATTAATTTACTAGATTCACTTCATTCATATTATGATTATAATTATCTATAACAACGGAAAACCCTCAACC